ACTCCAAGCAAAGACTTGTGTGGTATATACTCCCTCCGTCCCTGAATTTACTTTCGTAGTACAAATGACACACGGATTAAGAAAGTGAGAATTGTGTGGTGGAGAGTTGTGCAGAGGAGAGAGAAATGTATAAGAATGTGTAAGAATTGCTGTGAACCACAAATTCTTTGACAAAAAAGGAAAGTGAAGTTATTTTTGGGACGTACGAAAAGGGAAAGTTGGAAGTAAATTCAGGAACGGAGGAGTAATCAAAACTCAATTTATATCATCTTAGATAAATATTGTATTGATTGTGAGACCCCGAGAAATGAGTGCTTTTAATTAGAAATTCTTGCAAAGCATTGCATTAGTTTTATTATTTATGCCCCAATCACATTTACTACTTCCTATGCTCCTATTTACTCCCTCCGTCCCATTTATATTGTCCCGGAAGAAGGTGGCACGGTTATTAAGAAAAGTAGGTTTGTGTGGTTGATATTAATTGATAAAGTAAGAATAAAGTAAGAATGATTTAGAACCACACAAACTTTGCCAAATATGGTATGAGACAATATAAGTGGGACTTCCCGAAAAGGTAAAACGGGACAAAATAAATGGGATGAAGGGAGTATATGTCATCAGTTGCCGTTTTTGTTACTTATTTGTGTGTACTTACAAAATCTGTTTACATCAATTTTTTTCTTTTCTCGTTTATGCTTCTTACACCATTCAATTTAATATTTCACCCGAGTACAATGTTAGAGGTGACTTTTGCTGAATCTTTTTTGGCAAACCATTACAAGTTTGGTTATGTTTTCACCCAATGGATTTACTTGAACCGTGCAAGTTCCTAAGGTATAATAGTATGATATTGGGTTGAAGGTCTGGTCTAGTATTATCAGTATTTTATTTTTATATAAGTTTGATTTGGTATGGTATATTCTATGATATGGTGTAGTCTTGTCTATTTAAATCCATTCAAGACTAATTTGATCTAGTATTATACTTATTTTTTACTTTTATCTAAGTTTGTTTTGGTATCGAGATATTTAGGTCTGATCTCATCTCGTGTAGTATGATGTGTTTAAATCCAATTAAATCTGATCTACTCTAGTCTAAGAATGTTTTCTTTTGGACTGTAATTTGCTGGTCTAGTCTAGTCTTGTCTGAACTAGTTTGGTCTGGTTTGTTTATGTTTGATCTGGTCTGAACTAATCTGGCCTGGTTTGGTAAATGTTTAGTCTATGTGTATTTTATAACTATCCAAGTCTGGTCTGGTGTGGTCTGTTTAAATCTGATCCAGCTGATTTGATCTAATCTATTTAAGTCTAACCTGGTCTGATCTGGTCTTGTCTGGAACTGAAAATACTCCAATATATGAAACATCCTAAATGAGCTGAAATATTTTTCATTTTAGTCAATTATTTTAATAGTCATGTTTCGTAAAAGAGCTCAAGTGGACTGGATCTGAAATAAGCATGCTGAATCAGAAGCCCAGGATTGATCAGGCCAATGCCCAAAAGCCCAACGAGGCAAACAAAACAAGCAACAACCAGCACCCCTTGACCCAATGACCATGTTAGCTTGAAATGCAGCTCAAACGCCGCATGCTCGCAGCTCGCATTGCCAATCGTCCAACAACTTGCAAGTTGTAAGGCTGACTGAAATGGAGGGGGTGAAAACCCCAAATGTGAGGTTTTCACCCCAAAAACTACTGCAACCCAGACTTTTTTTTTTGTAGAGGGAGGTCTCATTGAGAATAGGGGAAACTGAGTGGAGGGATTTTTGGGCGGTGCATTGACTCCCTATTTGGAGCTGACATGCGCAGCGGGCCCTCATCCCATCAAGCCAGCTGAATTGTGCAGGAGGAAATGTAAGGTCTAGATTTGACCTTATCAGATAGCCTTCTCATGAGGATCTTTTGTTTATCACTATAATTGTAATTATGTTAGAGATTTCTCATATTGTGACATTGGTGGCTAGGTTTGGGTCTGAAAAACTGAAAACCGAATCAAAATAAATCAAACCATGACCAAATTAAACCCAACTCCTAAAACACCGAAATCAGATGTAAAATCGAACCGTATTGTTTTGTTCGATTTTGGTTTTTACCCTTCAAAACCGAACCAAACTGATAAACCGAACTAATCAAATTATGAAATATTATTTGTTAATTAATCATTAGGTATTAATCCTAAAATCATATAGTCTTTGGTTTTTTTGAGAGATATAATCTTTGGTTTTCTTGTGCTAAAAAGTCACGTTTTGTATTATGTTCAGTTTAGTTTATAAATGTTCCTTTTTTACTCCAGGGGGCGTCTGAGGGAGGGGGCTTGGAGTAATCAAGGCTAAAACTCACTCCATTGAGTTTCGAATCTGAGACCTCCTGTAAGGGAGAGTGAATCGGCGACCAGCTGGGCTGGACCGCTTATAAATGCATTCACACGTTCATTGCTTGTAATATCGTATCTATATTGATCTATTATATCTTTTATGCATACATTTTGCAATTTGTTGCATGAATGTGATAGATTTTTACTAAACCGTACTAGTAACTTTTATTTTTATGTAACTTCAAGTTCTTATATTGATAGAGCACAAAAATGTTCATCTCAACTATATCACAAAGAATTTAAATATAGAATGCAAATATTCATGTCCTTTGTTTCGAACTAGTCACAAATAATGTAAATTAAGAATATGTATACTTTTGTTCCAAAAAATGGAAAAAGTGTGTTATTTTTCCCACACGGTGATATAATTGAAGACATAAGTATTTTTTTCTTTTCTTTTTATGTAATTTGTTTGATCACTGAACTATCACATCATTTTGAATCAAATGACAAATTTTAGTAAAAAACAGAAAAACCTGAAATCAAACCAAAATAAATCAAACCAATCAAACTATGATTTCAAGTTTGAAATGTAAAATCGAACCGAAACCGAATCGAACTTTGTACTTTTGTTTCGGTATTTGGTTTTAGTCAAAACCAAAGTGAACAAACAGAACTCACCCCTATTGGTGGTTAGGGGTGACCGGGTGAGCCCGGTCCGGCTGCACCAGTCCAAGATCAGACCGGAACCGGAATCACCAAAGTTATTGGACACAAGATCGGATCAGAACATCTCTAGTCCAAGGCCAGACCAGAGTGTATTATTACGGGTTTGATCGGACTAAACCATGTGGACCATTATTTTACTTGAGCTTTTCTCTTTTGATATTATATTTTATTAATGTAATAATCATATTTATACAAGAAATCATTTCGGTGTACAAAAATACTAGAAACTAATACTCTCTCTGTTACTTTGACCATGATTTTCTACTAATATATATAATCAAATTATTATGTATAAATATTATTAAATTTCTATTGATGTGAATTTCCAAAAAATTAATTTTTTGTTATGTTTACTAATACGTAATTAAATATAATTACAATCAAAGTTATGTGTTGGCAAACGTGTAAGTCAAACTGTTGCAACTAATAAAGAATGGACGATAATATTATTTTTCAATTAGTTCAATGAGTGGTTTAACTCATTAGATTTTCAAATTCAATCAAAAATAGCTTAACTAATGAAAAGCTAAGATGACAGTGTTATGAAATGGAAGGAAATATGCAGAAGATTAGGGAAAGAGTGGTTGTATTATGAACTCTTATTAAGAGAAGTATTCTTGAAGGTGTCTTACATGTGTGTTTACAATGAAGGAAAAAACTCTACTTATAGGCTAAAAAAGTGATTAACTCAGTATGATAACATTAATATTAGCCACATAATCATTATCAAGAAATCATAATTGTGATCTATGAATTATCTTAATAATGATAATAATGACTTAGTAATCATCAATAGTTAGGAGATGACTAATTCATTATATTTGAACACTACCCCTTGAATGGTCATCTTCCAATTATTCATGGGTATTAGTTATCTCGTTAATAAAAACCTTACTATGGTTCTACAATTGGATGAAAATCATAGTTAGAGAAAGACTACAATATTTGATCTCATGGTATTACATATTGTTTTGTTAAAAACCTCATCAGGAAAAAGCTAGTGAGATAAATACATGAACGAAGGGAAAGAGTGTGTAGTGCATATAATACTCACTCAATTTAACAAATATCTCGAAGACGGCTCATTCCAGTGTTGTGGACAAGTTCTTCAAATTTCTTCGGGGCCAATGATTTTGGGAATACATCATTAGGGTTTTTGCATGACTTGATTTGTTTGACATCAAACGTCTAACACCCTGGCCCCGCAGGGTCTGAGGTAATTTCTTCAGACCTCTAGTACTATCCTCACAAACCATTACAGGCCTCTACTGCGCACTTTGTCCTCGCTCGTGCGCACCCTGAAAAACTCCTCAAAGGGTCACCCATCACAAGACTACTCTCGTGCAATCACGCTTAACTTGAAGTTCTTAGGTGATAAGCTCCCTTAAGAGGAGATGCACCTTGTTGGTATGAGTAGTACTATTAATCATTTTAAATTAATCTCATGTGTTACAAAACGTTCCTTGTTTCTCAAGATCATGTGTGGAGAAAAGTTTTGGTGCTATATGCTTTGTTCTATATCACCTTTGATGTAATATCCTTTGACTTGAGCTATATCTGGCTAACAAATATATAGACAAAGCTAGCAATATCTGGTCAGGTAATATTAGTCAAGCCCAAGGACATATAGAAAAAGCACTCAAATACATTACTCCAGGACCAAGGATTTATTGATCTGTAACACCCCGATTTTAGCAATCTAGTTCCATTAATCTTTTAATTTATTTAGTCAGTTAAATAAGATTATTTTATAAATAATGTGATTTATTGTTTGATTATGTGTTTCTGGCAGGTAACGTTGACCGATAAGCTCTAATAATTTTTAGTGGAGAAATAAGTAATGCTTTAAAGCTTAATCAGTTTATTTTGAAATAGAAATTCCTTTTAATGTGTTAGAAACATTTTTTTTAAGAGATGATTAGAAGCCCAATTCAATTAATTAGCCCAAGTAAATATGTTTAAGATTGAAATCTCTAAGGAGTGGTCGATCGAAAACCAAAGAATAGGACCTGCGTTTTTCATCCGCCATAAGCTGCCGCCTCTTCTCTCTGGAACAAGTTTTTTTTCGCACCTTCAAGTTGCGATAAAAAAAAACTTAGTTCTGAATCAAATCTCAAACCTGGTAAGACAAGTTTCATTCTCTCTACTTATATTGTTCATTTAAGATTGTTGAAAAGCATGAATTTCTGCAAAATTTGATTAGCTCCTTGGTCTGTCAAAGGTATTCAAAACCTCGATTCAGTCTTCAATATCGAACCTTTATAAATGATTTTACCTTTCCTAAACTTCTTGTACGTTTGGCATTTAAAAGAAGGGAAATTTCAGTTGTAACTTGCAATTCATAGAGCAAGTCAATAAATTTTGTTTAATGGTAATCTGTCTATTGATGTTCCTTTTTCCACTAGAATTCTGAAATGCATATATTTTCATTAAATTGTTAAGCGTAGACTATGCAGTGGTTATGATCATTGGTTTTAAATTAGCTCAACTATCTATTTAGTTTTATTCAAAACATGAGCAACAATTTAGTCTCATACGAAGCCTGCTTGAGAACTTCACTGTTGGATTTTTAGGATTTCACTGGTGTAGCCACATTTTAATTGTCCTTCCATTTTAGTTGGGTCTGCTTTAAATTTTCTTAGTAGATGTTCTGAGCCAAATCTTACTAGTGGTTGCGGCCAATTTCGGTTAGAAGAAAATCAACTAGCTAATTTTGTATATTCTAAGCGGCTGTGTGGCAGTAGGCAAAGATTTCCTTAGATGAATACAGTCTATACATCAGATTTATAATGATTTTATTACATTTAATTAAAGATTTCAAAAAGAGCTTACTGAAAGACGTTATCAAGGGGCCACAAGTATTTGAGTAGTTTGACTTCAGCTTCTAACATGTAAGTTCACTACCACATGTACATGTTTGTTCAACCAAATAAAAGAAAGAAGTCTGGTTGATTTTTAATAGATGATTTTAGTCTATATGCTATTATGTGAACCGGGTGAATTATTTGCTGAATTATATTAATTGCTGAATTAAGTTATGTTTATTACCTGACATAGTCAAGATTTTGTCAGTATTTTTATTTTCAGATTTAATGATGTTTTTAATCAAACGTCACCACCATAAAAAGAACTAATATTTAAAGTGAAAGATCAGATGATATGTACTCGGGAACAAGTTCCCTCAGTTTATCAGTTTATCAGTTTCAGAGAGTCCGATATGTTTAGTGGGTCGCTCCCATGAGCTGTTGGATTGGCGCCTTTGAGTACATATCACGGGCCCACACTTAAAATTAGCCACAAAGAGTTTTACAGAAAGTTTATGAGATCTTTTTCAGAAAGTTTTACAGAAAGTCGTTTTTGAGATCTCTTTCAGAAAGTTTTACAGAGTTGTTTGGAGAAAGAAACTTTGAGATCTCTCCAGCAGTTTTGAGAAAGAATTTTAGAAAAATATTTTCCTTTTTGAGATCTCCCTCGGAATGTATTTGAGAAGTTATGTGTTAGTTATTTGTTCAGTGCATGCTTATAGCCTAAATTTATCTATTGATAAATTGACATAGACTTCTAGATATTTTTGTGGATCCATAGTGACTTACTAAGCGTAAAGCTTATCAGATTCTTTCTTCGTATGTACAGATACTAAGGGTAAGGCCGAGGCCTAGGAAGACGATGAGAGAGTGGGACGCGTGCCAAGACGAGTTAACGGGAACGATCTTGGCGGCTCCTAGCTAGTTTATTTTATTGAAGTGTTTCAGTTTTATAAAAAGTGATTGATATTATTTGATTAAGTTTGGAGTATTTATTTGGATTGTTTGAAGTTTGAATAAATTCCTGGATCCAGGTGGTTATCACATTTGCTGGTGATAACTAGAATTTTATTGAGTTTTATTTGGAGTTAAATTTTAGTTATATTTGAGAATTTATCAGGGTTATTTCTTAAACAAACGGCCATTATATTGCAGTTTTTTTTTTAAAGTAGTAAGCTAGTGTAACGTTTCCTTTAACCCTGAGAGGGGCGTTACAATTTGGTATCAAAGCCCAGGTTGTCCCGTAACTTCATCGGTCACCGTACACGTGCTCATCATCTTCCAAGTAAGTATTTAAAATTAGTTTTAAATTTCTGTACATGAGCAAGAGGAGTTTATTAGATAGAGAACAAAAGTGAGAATGTCCTGCCTTTTAGTAATCTGTATGACACATAAATAAAAAGCTTATATTTAGGTGCCTTGAGAAAATGAGGAGAACCTGTGGTAGCAATGCACCAAGGAACAGTAATGAGCAAGGAAACCATCACGAGCAAGATTTGGCCGGTATTGTAGCTCAACTTCAGAGGCAGTTGCAAGCGCAACAATAGACTATTGACCGCTTGACCGCGAATAATCAAGCTAGGGGGAATGGAGCACCGAGACAAGAACCTCTGATGATCACATGGAGGAAGATCAAGCCTGCGGATTTTGAGGGGGGTCCCGACCCTCTAGCTGCTCAGGGATGGCTGAAGACCATTGAAGGCATTGTCAATGGTTTGGAATTGGCAGATAATGACAAGGTTCGATGCGCATCTTATAGCCTCACTATGGATGCTCGAATATGGTGGGAGACAGTCGAAGCAAGGTATGATATTGCGCAGATGACATGGGAGCAGTTCAAAGAGGAGTTCACCAACCAATATTTCAATGCTAGTGTCACACGTAAGTACCATTATGAGCTTCAGGATCTACGGCAGGGAACCATGGATGTAGCAACCTTGGCGGCACAATTTCAGAGACTACTACGTATTTGCCCTACAGCTGCTCTGACAGAGAGAGATACGGTGAAGTTGTTCCTGAAAGCCCTTAGGAAGGATATAGCAGTTCACTTGGAGGACGGTAACCAGACCCCAGCTACATTAGTCGATTGTGTCCTTAGAGCAAGTCAGAAGGAGTACTACCTTCCTACCGATCCAGTGCCCGCTCAGCCGCAACATGTGCCTGCACAGTCACAGAATCAACCACAGGGATACACGAATAATCCGAAGAATAACAAGAAGAGAAACTTTAAGAGCAGTGATGGCAAGGGAGCTGGACGTCATCAGGGGCGACAAAGTAAACAGATGAAGTTTCCGCAGTGTGCGAATTGTGGCCGTAATCATCCAGGCCAATGCAAATTGGGTTCGAGAGCTTGCTTCACTTGTGGCCTTGAGGGCCATATGTCTAGAGACTGTCCAAGAAAGAATCAGCAAGGCTACCAGATCACTCAGATGTCGAGAAATCCAACACCTTCAGCGGTTGTCCATAATATGCAGGCTTATCTAGAAGGACCATCCATCCAGCAAGGACGTCTTGAAGCACCAGTGCACCACCAGAGGCCCCGGTTGCTAGAGTGTTCACCATCTCAAAGGAAGAGGCATCTATAAATCCCGGCGTTGTTACAGGTCAAATACTTGTTCTAAACAGATATGCTAATGTGTTATTTGACACAGGAGCCACGCATTCATTTGTATCTCTTGAGTTCGCTAGATTCTTAGCAACACATCAAGATAAGTTAGATTATAAGTTCACCACAGCACTTCCGTCAGGAGAGATTATGTTGTCGACTCATTGGTTACGAGCAGTGCCAATGAGTATTGCGGGGAGAGAGTTATTTGTAGATCTGATCGTGCTCGACATGAGGGATTATGATGTGATTCTCGGCATGGATTTTCTGCAGAAGTATAGCGCTTCAATTATATGTCGAAAAAGGATGGTTAGTTTTGCGCCTGCAGGGTCGGATCCTTTCTTATTTCTTGGGGAACCAAAAAGATCAGGGAAGGTGATGATTTCTGCATTGCAAGCAAGGAGACTTATTCGGGGTGGATGTGAAGCTTTCTTAGCTCACATAGTAGACAAAAACTCAAGGGAACCCAAGCAGCTTTCTGAAGTTCCTGTTGTGGAAGATTACAACGATGTATTCCCCGAAGATTTTTCAGGATTACCACCGAGTAGAGAGATTGAGTTCGAGATTGAGCTGCTGCCCGATACTGCACCGATATCTAGAGCACCGTATCGAATGGCCCTAGCAGAGTTACAGGAACTCCACAAGCAGTTGCAGGAGTTGCTAGAGAAGGGCTTCATTCGGCCCAGTTACTCACCGTGGGGAGCTCCAGTATTATTTGTTAAGAAGAAGGATGGCACAATGAGGTTATGCATAGATTACAGAGAGCTCAATAAAGTGACTATCAAGAATAGGTATCCCCTGCCTAGAATTGATGACCTGTTTGACCAGTTGAAGGGAGCGGTGATTTTCTCTAAGATCGACCTTCGTTCAGGGTATCATCAACTAAGAATCAAAGAAGGAGACATCCCAAAAACAGCTTTCAGGTCGCGGTATGGACACTGTGAATTTGTGGTTATGCCTTTCGGCCTAACTAATGCTCCAGCGGCGTTTATGGATCTGATGAATAGAGTGTTCAGGGAGTTTCTTGACAAGTTTGTCATTGTTTTCATTGATGATATTTTGATCTACTCAAGGTCTAAGCTATATGCTAAGTTTTCAAAGTGTGAGTTCTGGCTTGACCATATAGCATTCCTTGGCCACGTAGTTTCAAAGCACGGAGTTTCGGTGGATCCCTCAAAGGTGGCGGCTGTTCAGGATTGGAGCAGGCCAAAGAATGCGAAAGAAGTTCGAAGTTTCTTAGGCCTTGCGGGGTATTATAGGAAGTTTGTGGAAGGCTTCTCTGCTATAGCTCTTCCATTGACTACCTTGACCCGTAAGGGTAAGGAATTTGAGTGGACTGGTCATTGTGAGAAGAGTTTCCAAGAGCTGAAAAATAGGTTGACATCTGCACCCGTTTTAGCACTCCCAGAAGGCAAGGAAGGGTTTGTTATCTACACAGACGTCTCGAAGATGGGACTGGGAGCAGTTCTTATGCAGAATGAACGCGTTATTGCGTATGCATCTCGGCAACTCAAGGAGTATGAGGAAAATTATCCCACCCATGACTTGGAGTTAGCAGCGGTAATTCATGCCTTGAAGATTTGGAGACATTACTTGTATGGAGTCCAGTGCAAGATCTTCACTGATCATAAAAGTTTAAAATATATATTCACGCAGAGGGACCTCAACATGAGGCAAAGAAGGTGGCTTGATCTAGCGAAAGACTACGATTGTGAGATCCTTTATCACCCGGGAAAAGCCAACAAGGTAGCAGATGCACTTAGCAGAATGTCTTCTGCAACAAGGTAACTCCGCGGGAAAAGCACCGCGGAGTTACTATTAGCCAGGCACGGTCGTGCCTGGAGAGAGGCACGATCGTGCCTGCCCAAAATGCGCGTTTTTGCTCCGGAGGCACGATCGAAGGCACGATCGTGCCTGGCATCGTGCCTGGCTCCGAAAATCCTAATTCAGCTCAAATTTCACCCGATTTTTCTATTTAAACAACCTGTAAACCCCCGTTTTCAAGGGGGAGCTTAGAGAGAATGCCTAGCACGAAGTTTAGAGGGCTTTTCAGCCTTGTTCATCAATCTTTTGGTATTCTTTGTAAGTTCCATCTTTTTAATTAATGACAATTAATTCTATTCTTCCCAATTCTATTGATTCTTCAATTATGAATTGTGAGTAGTTTTAATTAGAGATTTGGGATTGATGAAGGGGTTAATCATGATGTATGGCTAGATTCTTTTCGGTTTAATTGCATGAATGCCGATTAATTTGTGTTTGAATAATTTAATTGATATCTTTTGTAACCTAGAATCGCGACTAGAATTACAATTGCATGTAGAATAAATTAAGAGAGATCTAATTTGTTCTAGGACACATTCACACACACTTAATCGTTCGCTAAGAGATTAGTAGCAATTAAGGGGCCGTAAGCTCGCTCGTTTGGCAATAATTTAGGATCCTGTCGCATGAGAGATCAGCCTGGTCCCCTAAATTATTGTACTCTACGCCGCGAGAGCGGTAAGAACTTAGTAATGATTAGCTAGGCTCAATTAAATTAATTTCATGTAATTAGGCCTGATCTGCCAGAAATCTGGTTACCCCAGAATCGATCCCTGTTCCCTTCGTCGTTAATTAGAAAGAACCCCCTAGTTTAATTGTTCGCATTAGTTTTATTTTCCAAACCAACCAATCTCGCACGACGCTTTTATTTTATTTTCTTTTTAATCGCTGAATTTAATTAATTCTTGATTCCCTTTTGTCCGTCCCTGTGGAGACGATACTCGTACTTTTCACTACTTTTCTACAACCATTTTAAGTGCGAGAAAACACACATCACTAGACCTAGGTTTTTTTCGAGCCATTGATTCCCTAAAAGACCAAAAGCCTAGTAGTTCACTCCCTGAATTGGTTGCAAATGTGGAAGAAGCTTTTAACGAACTTTCAGCCACAACACTAGAAAAGGTCTTTCTATCTTATCAAACTGTTATGAAAGAAGTGATGCAGTGCGGGGGAGGAAATAATTACAAATTGCAGCATTTGGGAAAAGAAGCTTTACAAAGGCAAGGTCAACTACCTCAGAGAATTGGTGTGACTAAGCAGATATATGAGGAGGCGTTGCTTAAAATATCACATTCTCTTAATGTGTGACTGAATGTGAAATGAAATTTCATGTATGTGTAATGCTTTATGTTAGACAGTTGTAATGCGTTAAGACGGCTTTGGATTGTTATTAATAAATGAATGAGGTCAATTGTTCATCTCTGGTGACTCCATAAATGTCTATTAATGCAAATAAACAATATGGTTGAAGTATTACAAAGCAATATATTACCAGTACAACATAACCTCATAAAATATTTACCGTTACATTTATGTCTTCAATGTTTTAACTTATGCCTCAGAACACACTCATCATAGGCAATACAAGTGTTTACGTAGGCTGGACATCAGTTCACTCACACACAGTGCACTACTTTAATCAGGCTACTTTAATCAGATTACTCAGTCTCAATTATCATCACATACCGTGCACTACTTTAATCAGGCAAAAAATGAGTAACAAAGTGCACAAATTACTCATGGGGATGAAATGAATTCTTCACAGGCTGGATACATCAGTTTACTCACACTTAATACACATCCAAACCAATCACAGTGTTAACCACCATCAACATACCACTACACGGTTTGAAATTATGCCTCAGACCAGATTCATCACAGGCTTAACATGAGAAAACTAATGCTACACAACCTCAGAAAATAGTCATCAAAACTTTTTATCATCACATACAGTGAACTACTTTAATCAGGCTAAAAATGAGTGACAAAGTGCACAAATTACTCATGGGAATGAAATGAATTCTTCACAGGCTGGACAACAGTTCACTCACACTTAATACACATCCAAACCAATCAAAGTGTTTACCACCATCAACATACCACTGCACGGGTTGAAATTATGCCTCAGAACAGATTCATCACAGGCAACACATGAGAGAACTAAGGCCACACACCCTCAGAAAATTGTCATCACACTGTTTTTTTCAACACAGATAGTGCACTGCTTTACTTAGGCCAATATACCTCAGAGAAACATCACAAGGTTTATTAATCACAGACATTACATGAGTGAACTGAGTACAAATCAGCAGCAAACAATTCAAATAGCACATACAGTACACGACCGAAATCAGGCGACATAAGCATCACAAAGTTCCTACAGTAGAACCTCAAACAAACATGCAATTATTGGACAACAAAGAAATGAAATTAGGCAGTAAGAACTCCCCTATGGCAATCCTTCATCCTCGTCCGCCGTAGCCACAGGGGTTGGCGTCACTGCCCTTTTGGAAGTAACCGCAATCCACCGGCTCTCGAGGTCCTCAAAGCCGTCATCACTGTCGGGTTCAATCAATCCCTCATAATGTTTCCTCCATTTCCAACTCGGATCAGTATCGTCGGTGTCGGAAGGAGAGATGTACCATTCCGGAGAAGGACAACCTTCTGAATCAGATAGTAAAGCCTCGCGATCGTCAAGCGGAGGGGTAAGTGAAGGCAAATCCCCAGCGGGAAGGATATCGACGGCCGGAGACTGAATAATGTCTGCCTCTGAGGGCGACGCTGGGAGTGCACCATGGTCGCCAGCTGCAGAGGCAGTCGAGATCTTTGTTTTTTCAGATTCCATGAGAGCAGAGGCGGCAAAGATGGGTTCAGGCAAGTGTAAGAAGGAGGATTGCTTGATACGGAGTAATTGAGAGATGAAGTCGGGAAAGATGTAGGGTTGAGACTGCAATTTGGACATCTTGTAGGGTATGATAAGTGGGCCGAGAACCGATGGGCATTTGGACACACTTTGTTTTCAAATTCAAAATTAAGGGTAGCAAGGGTTATTCAGAACGTATAATTGAGGGTAGAATAGAGAAGTTGGAGTGTTTTTATTTCTGTTTTTAGAAATGGGAAGATTTTTTGTTACGGAGAAAAAAGGAAAGTGGGAAGATTTTAAAGATACGGAGGGAGTAATTTTTTTCAAATTATATTTGTATTGAGTGTTACTATTTTGTTAGACTGTACACATTTGTGTGCTACTCCACAATCATTGATACTTCGTAAATCATATTGAAGAGATTTCATTTTACATCAAACTTGATTATTGTGTATGTTTTTTTTTCTAATTTGAGTAAAACTTCGCCCTTTAAATTTCACCAACCGAGCATTGCACTGGAGTTGTACATATTTTTTAATTAAGAACTACTACAGACAATTCTACCTATTGAATGTGTTTAGAAAATTATTGTGCTTAAATGATAGCATTACTTTTCATATACAGACTCAACTAACATTTTCTCACAAATTCATATTTGAGTATTGTTGGGATATTGATCCAGGCCCAATATCCCTAAGCTCAAATCAAGGAAGAAGCAGCAGGCCCAAGGCAGTCCAAAGAATTCCCGAACAACATTCGGGATAAAGCTTCTACTTGGAACATTCCAGGAAACAATTACGCCAAAGTGCCAATGCCTAGATCCCGATCGGCATTCGGGATACTTTCATAACAAGATAACATCTATGACGGGGTCCCACACACCGAACACCTTGCCCGAACGGGCAATCAGCAAGTGGAGGCCGCATTTAATACTGGATCATGGCGGCTACAAGTGGGGGCATGGGTGCTTACATGGCAGAGGTGGTAACCTACTGGATTCAGCCACGTGTCCAGCTTTCCCATCCCTCTTTTAGTATAAATATCCATGTTTAGATCATTGTAAAGGGTTAGCATTTTGAGACTCAGAGCTTAGCAATAGATTTACATCTCTTATCCTTGTATTCTCATACTCATCTACCGTTCGGGTAGTTCCAGTGTAATAGCATAAATTACTGAATACTAGTAAGCTCCTGAGTTGGATAATATCTCACTGTTTTATATTTTTATACACTTTTCAACCCAACCCAATATCCCTACAATATCCAAAGCTTGTGTTGGACTTTCGGATCTTCGGGAATAAACCTCAACATTGGCGCCGTCTGTGGGAAACTCTACCAAAAGCCCCAAGCAAAACCTTTGTTCTAAGTACCATTTTTTGAGATGGTTAGAATTAGAACCGCGACACCAAGTTCTACACCCGGGGGCCGAGGAGGCAACGGGTCCTCTGAGGGATGGTCCATGCAAGGAAACGCCAGTGGCAGTGCCACTCGGGAGTTTGAGGGCATCATCCCTCCGGATGTGAGGAGGAACCCTCAGTTGATGAGGGAGATGGCAGAGGCTATGCAACGCATGGCGGATGAACAGGAGCAGGGATATACTGACGGGACTCATGAGGCCTTATCCCCTGTTCGTCCTATGTCATCCTTTGAAGAAGGGGAAGACACTGAAACCACCACCGCTTCAGCACATTCTCAGCAGTATCGGGGAGATCAATGGGGGACCAACATCCCCAGGTACGCACCACCAACCAGCCGAACCCCATCCGCACCTCGGAACGAATACAGGGAACCTACCCCCCATGGTAGACCCCGTTGGACAGCACTTCCAGTATGTCCAGAGGGATGGAGAACGCTTCATCCGGAGGAGAGCTAACACAGCTGCCCCTCCCCCGTACAGAATGCCGGGGTATGTGGGAGCAAGGATGCCACAGGCTCCCCGAACGGCCCAATATGAAGAAATGACCGAAATGCGGAGACAAATGACTGAGCTCAGGGAGCAGGTAAACCGGACGCCTCAGCAAACCCCACCAGTTAGGGCTGGTATCACTTCTCCCTTCACATGGGAGATTATGAATGCAGAAATTCTCCGGGACTGTCGTCCCCCGGCCGGGCTTACATATGATGGGGTAGGTGACCCCGAGGTACACTTGAGGAGCTACCAAGGAGGCCTCATGCTCCTTGGGGCTACTGATGCGGCCATCTGCAGGTTGTTCTTCAGCACCCTCCGGGGGGCCGCACAAGAATGGTTCGGGACGTTGCAGCCCGGATCAATCGGAAGCTTCGCTGAACTATCCACTCTATTCCTGGCACAGTTCGCTTCTGGCACCAAGCAAAAGGTGCATTTTGGTCACATGACCACGGTGAGGCAAGCACCAAGGGAGTCCGTCAGCGACTTCCTGATCAGATGGAGGAGCGAGACCCTCAAGGTCACTAGCATGACGGACGAGACTGCCATCCTCTTGTTCACGGATGCTCTCCAAACCGGGGAACTATATAGGGAGCTCAAGAAGAACCCGGGCACCCACTACCCGGAGGTGCTAGAGAGGGCCAGGAGGCATGCGACCCTAGAGGGACCGAACGGCCCCGCAGCCCCCCACTACAAGGCTGGCGGAACGTTTGGGGCCCGCACCAGCTGCTACAGCACCTCATCGCAGGACTGCGCGTTTCACCCCCTGGTCATGTCTATAGCCGGCGTTTTTAATTTGGAAAAGAATGCCATTCCTCCCCCTACTGACACAAGGCCCGTGATGGGACCTACCCCGAATGCTTTCTGCAGATACCACCAGCGGAATGGACACCTCACGAAGGATTGCCACGCCCTACATGTGGCGATCGAGGACCTGATCCAGAAAGGCTACCTGAGGAAATATGTCAGCACCAACTCGAACAGTCCTTCCCCCAATCAACGCCCTCTCCGATCCAATAGCTGGAAGCGGGATGTCCAGCGAGATGCAGAGCCAAGTAATGATTCATACCGCCCCCCATAGAGGAGACTGAGGGGTCAGGGAATCCGGGGAAGAAGCCAAGGATGGAAGTCAAAGTCATCTTTGGTGGAGGGGAGACCGGGGATACGGCCGCTGAACGTAAGAAATTTGAGCGCAGCCTCTATGTCGCCACTGTAGCTGCACCACCCACGAAGAAGGGCCGCTTGGAGCCAATTATGTTCGGGGTGGCTGACCTACCCAACTCACCAAGTCCGCACAGGTACGAGGTAGTGGTGAGTATGTGTATAGACAATGCCTTAATCCGCCGAGTTCTGGTGGACACGGGGAGTTGTGTGAACGTGCTGTATTTACACACGTTGGAGAAGATGAAGCTGAAGAAGGATCAGCTAACCAAGCTGAAGACACCGCTGGCTAGCTTCACCGGCAATGTAATCGAGGCCGAGGGCACCATCCAGCTTCTGGTTGAAATTGGTGACGAGACCCACCGGGCAGCGGTCCGGATGACTTTTGTAGTGGTGGACATTGCATGTGCCCACAACGCCATATTGGGCCGTCCAGGTCTTGAAGATTTGGATGCAATTGCTTCTGTTTGACACTCATGCATCAAGTTCCCAACTGACACTGGAGTAGGAGTGGCCCGAA